TAGGGAACTTAGCCATGGTAAATTCAAAATATACTGCATGCATAGGAAAATCCAGGTCTGGACAATTCAAAAAATACGAGACTTTCCTAGTCAGATGATGTACTGGCTCCCCTGAGTACCTGACAGTTTTGAGTGCTGGAGAATAAAGGAAAAGACAAAAGACTGGGAAAAACCCCAACAAAGACTTAGTAAACTTGTTAACAGAAGGCATCCATTGCTGGCCCCTTTGCTGCTCCACCGCTACACCCCGCCCTGCATCAATCGACTCTCATGTAAGCCGATGACGTTTGCTTGAGGAGGCCTCAGGGGTCTCTTGATGCTTCGTATGCCGATTCTCAATAAAAGTATTGATCAATTCGTCTATACAGTACAACGACAAATAAGCGCACTGGTCCTCCTTAACATAAACGCCCATATCCATCACAACCCTTTCAAGAAAGGTGGTCACGAAGGTTGCATAGGGAAAGGCCGTATACCAGTTTTCCCCTTTGGGAGAAGCCTCAACCATGTTCAGGCACATGAGAGATGCGAGGTTAACAGGAACACCTCTTTGAGCTTGCACAAGGATAAACAAGTCAAGTTCACGAATAATCGAATTACCACGGTACCTTGGCAGGAAGTAGTTGACGATCAACTAGTGGAGGAATCGAAGAGGATCTGGGAGGAAAGAAGCCTGGATGCGCCTTTTCGTGAGTTTCGCCAGTTCAACTTCAAACTCAAAATCGTACAGCCGCCCAAGATCGCTTCTGCTCTCAATGGGGTGTCCTCCAGCGGGAAGATCAAGGATCTCAGCAAATTGATGAGGCTGAAAGTAGAGTCTATGTCCTAGGAAGATCGACACGAGATGAGAATCACAGGGACCAGAAAGCTGTAGATTATGGTAGAACTTTCTCACCACATGGGGGCAGTAACTGGTGCTTCCTCGACTCCGGAGATCAAAGAAATTTTCCCAGCCAAGATTTTTTATTAACGTCTTCACTTCTGGAGGGAAATGACTTAGGTGGATGAACTCGTACTCGGCCACAATTGCGGTTTTGCTTGTAAATGAAAGATAGTCACCGAGACTGGCGGTGGATCAGCAGTCTTCGTTTGATAGAGATAGTATCCCCATTTCCGCAAACGATCTACTTTTGTTTGCCATGGAGTCTGGAGGAAGAAGGAACAAGGGGAAGGTGAAGATGGAGGAGAGAGAGAATGCAGGTGTAAGAAAAAGTGATCGTGGGGGTTGAGTCTGGAGACATGAGTGTGATGGAGACGGTTGAGTCTGGAATGTCAAGAGTTAGAAGATTACGGAAGATATGTAATGATGATGGTAACTCGTGTAGGTTAAACTAGGGTAAGTCATGCTAGTTAAACTAGGGTTGGCGCACGAATTGATACGGCAGGAGAAATGAAATGGGCTCGCACATTCCATGTCCACTTTTGAATATTGCATGGATCATGTACAAGTCCACTTTTTAATGTTATTTAAAAGCCTGCAAAAATCAATGATCAGACCCAGTCCAACTAGAATTAGTCCTAAACGCACCGTTAATACATAAACACAAATTAAGGAGACCTCTCCATCAGATTCAAATCAAATTCTGTCTTCTTCATCTCCTTCCTCAATCCTCTGGGCGAGACGAACACTACATATCAGGAAACCTTAATTTCACTAAGTGATAGAAGTTTCGAGAAAATGACAATAACGGTAAGACAAGATGACAAAGCACTAGCGACATGAACCCTAGGGTTAGCAAAATGAACCGTTTGATGAACACAATAATAGACATGGTCGCCGTAATCGTGTTAGAAAGAGATAGGCGAGGGGAAATAATATGGCGAAGAACAAACAAGACAAAATAAATTGGGAAATTCAAACTACGTCGAATGTGGATGCAAGTAATTGGGATTCAAAAAGATGATTAAGTTGGGGAGTTCAAATTGGATGGGGAGCTTCTCTTGGAACTGTGAAGGGCGTCCCTCCAAGACGAGAGAGGGATCATGTAATTGGTTAGGGAGACTGGAAATTGGTTAGGGCGGCAGTGGGTCTACCCAATTGGGTTTGCAGTCTTAATCCATTTAATTTAATCGGGGCAGTTAGTTGGACTAGGATGAAAACATTCTTAACGCATAAGGAGGCTTTTTGTAATTTGTTTAGTTATTTAGTGGCGCAGTTAGGTTCAACAAACGGGAGCCGTGGAGATTGAGAATGAATGGTTAAGATCGGCCAAGGTACCCGTACCCCGAATTTTGCCCTGAGCACCGTAGAAGTCACCACACATATATATATATATATATATATATATATATATTATCCTCTTTATACGTGATATCTTTTCGAAGAAGGTGGAAAAGATTAGAGGGTTTGGAGTTTTGGCTGGCGTGGACGCAGGGGAAACGAGGGATTAACTATAAGTCTAAAACGAGAATTGGAGCATTGAATTTTCTCTGATTACTCCATAAATTTTAGGAGATGGTGGCGGCAGATGATCAGAGAAAAATGGTCTTTTGTGGATAGGGTTTTGATGTGAGAGGGGAGGCACCCGATTCTAATGTGGGGTCGAAATTATTTTGTTTCATTTTTAATCATTATTTATTATCTTATTAATTAGATAAAGGAAATAATAAAATAATTTGTAATTTGAATTGTTTTGGTTTGGTGTTGACATGGTAGTGAGCTGGACCGTTGACTAACGGTCAATAGTATCGACCGTCCAAACTGACGGTCAAACCACGCGTCGAGCCAATTTAGTCTATATGATGTATAGTTGAGGTCAGAATGACAATTTCTGAAACCACTTGCCAAAGTTGACTATATGGGTATAGTTTGGGCTAAAATAAGTTATTAACTCTTGAATTATTAGTTCACACAGTAGTGATAAAGAGTATTTTTTTGTATGTATTGAATTTGTTAATTATAAAAAGTTTAGATTATAATAGAAATATAATTAGATAAGAGTAATGACGTAATTTGAGTTTCATATTTCACAAATCTTATCAAATAAAATTCATAATCAAATCTAACAAGCTAATAATAGACTTGTTCAAATCCATAATATATCAATGATTTTCTGAAATCCTCATTTGTCAAATCTATGAAGCAAACGACCCGTTAGTGTAATTGGTAATGATTCTTATTTTTGTCTCTTCAATATTTCAAATTCCAAGACTAATGGGTTAATAGCATTTTGTACTCTTGTACTATTGCAAATTAAAAAATGGGTTAATAGCACTTTGTACCCCCTCTACTGTTGCCGATTAACAAACATACCCCTCTATTAATTTATTGCACGAATATACCCTTCTAATATTAGAATGTAACGATCGTACCCTTCCATCCAATTTTCTGTTACAAGATCGTTAAATGGTTTGTAAAATGACCTTATTGCCCCTCGCTAACTCCTAATTTTGGTTTAAATAATATTTATATCTAAACCAATTTAATTAATAATCAAAACCTAGGGCGTATCTTCAACAACAGACGTTTCTTCTTCCCCTTTACCCCCGAGATGGAATTGAAAACATGGGCAGTTTCATGGTGGGGTAGTATTACATTGTGCTGATGAAGCTCAATTGGGTTGTTTTTTGGTGATGGGGGGATTCTTTTTTGGCGGACTCGACGCATGGAGAAATAGTTGCGGAAGTCGCCCTCTGCTGTCTTCTCCACCCGTCTCACCCGTTGTTGTGTCACCGTGTCGTCGTCTCACCCGTTGCCGTCTTCTCCAACCGCCTGCAAGTAGGGCTGGGCATGCGGGCGGATCATCCACGGGTTTGGGCCGACCCACCCGCATTTGACCCGAATTTCGTTAAGTGGGTGGGTCTGTGGGTGGGTGACGGGTTGCGCTGGGAGATCCGCCGGGTGGTGGGTGGGTTGTGGGTGAGTGTGCGGGTGACCCGCTCAACCCAACAGCAAAAAGATCAAAGTCGTTGGCGCTAGAGAGAGGAGAGTGGAGACATTAGATATAAACTCGGACTGCTCCTGGAGTTTGAACCTCAAGGCCAACCTTCCAAATAGAGATCCCCTCTTCTTCCCTTTACTTTTTCCTCTAATTCTTGTGTCTAGATCACCGCTCTTTCCTTTATGGAATTATTTTTCTTAGTTCCTTGCACCTAATAATCATCTCAATATGTAGAAAACTCTTTCATAATAGAATTTCTATCCAATTTAAGAACTAATTCGACATTTTTCGCCCTATTTCAACTTCTTGTTTCCCTCGATGATTCTCTTCGCCTATTATCATGTCAAGTTGATTCCTTTATATTATATACATTGTGATGTGGGTGAACCCACAAACCCACCCGCATCATCCACCATCCGCCCGACCCAACCCGAGACTAAATGTGGGTGGGTGGTGGGTTAAAAATTATCAATCCGTTTAAACGCGGGTGGGTGCATTTTATGGTCAAAATCCACCCGACCCACCCAATGCCCACCCCTACCTACAAGGTAGAGTCGGGTGCAGCCGCTGCCAAGGGTCTGCCAAGTCTATCGATGGGACAGTCTCCTATGAAGGCGGGGAGGGAGGCAGATGAAAGGATGGGTTTTGATTTTTAATTGGGTTTAGGGTGTGTTTTAATTCTTAATTGGGTTGTGATAAAAAAGATAAAAACATAAAGAGTAAATGAGGGATTGGGTTATTTTCCAGTCCATTTAACGATCAATTAACAAAAAATTAGATGAAATAGTATATTAGTTACGTTTTAATATTAGGAGGGTACATTTGTACAAGAATTTAATAGGGAAATATGTTTGTTAATTTGAAATAGTAGAAGAATACAAAATACTATTAACTCATAAAAAGAAAAAATAAATAAGGATGAAAACAATGTACCTTCCTATTTTTGCTCTTGTGACAAAAAAATTTGAAAAGCTAAAAATTACTCTAAATTATATTATATTGGTTGATGATTGATGTTTGATATATTTAATAATTTATTTTATGACGATAAATCTAATATTCGTTGGAATATGCTAATGGAAAACATTTTGAAGCACGCGAAAACGGATGGTTGGTTGGCGAAAACTGAAAGTCTCCATTTCCACAATCAGGAATCATAAGGGAAGGGAGGGGAGGGAAGCACTCGACTAGACTGTAACTGTACCAACCACCTGCCATTGTTTCTCCTTCCTTCCTTCCTTCCAAAGTTGCTTCAATCATTATCACATACTACACACCTTCCAGCCCCTTCTTCCACCTTTCCCTCTCAACCCACTCATCAATCCAACCAAACCATTCAAGCAGCAGCTATGTCTATGCTGAAGCTCTGCCCTTGTTTCTACGGACGACACTCCGCCGTCTCCGATTCCGATCTCGACCCCGTTCTTCTCGTATCCGGCATGGGCGGCTCCATCCTCAACTCCAAGCCCAAGAAGTTCGGCCTCGAGACTCGCGTATGGGTTCGCTTCCTTTTGGCCGAGCTCGAGTTCAAGAACAAAGCCTGGTCTATTTACAATCCTCAAACAGGTCCCTTCCTCTTCTCTTCTCTTCGCTTTAGCTTGTGTTCCTCTTCTTCAACCGCGCCGCGCCTTTCTGTTCTCCTCTCTCTTTCCCGTCCTGCCGTGGCTGTTAACGACAAAAAGAGACGACCCAAATTCGATCGACGTAGAGCCCACTGTGTCTGTCGTTTTGTGTTCCTCCTTTCTGACTGTCCTTTGTATCTGAAATTCTTCCAATCTTATTGGTGTCTGCCTTCGTTTCTTTTTATCTCTTCTACTAATATCCCTACAAGTAGAAGCTCTGCTCTGCTCTGCTCTGAATCCATTAAGTTTGCTTTTAAAGTCTGAATTGGGGTCTTACCTTTCATGCCTGCACCACTTGCTGCGTCTTTCAGGTTACACGGAGGTGTTGAACAAAGATTCCGAAATTGTTGTCCCTCAAGATGATTATGGACTCTACGCCATTGATATTCTGGACCCATCACCAGTAAGACTCGGTTTCTTCCCACCCACTGATTACTTGGCTTTCTAATATCCGGTAAAATGCTTTTGGGTTTGTTTGCTTTCTTTTTGATTTTGGGATGGCCAGTGCTTGAATCTATGTTGTACTTCATGTGTTCTTCCCCACATTGCGACTAGTATGATTGATCCTCCAAGCATGAGTTGCAACATTTGGACCCCACTCACTACCATACCATGTCCTTGCATTAGATCTTATGCGGTTGATTGTTTGCTCCACATTCCAATTGAGAGGAATCATCTGGTCTCTCGGTGTAAGTTAAAAGGTTACGGATTTACCTGCATGCTAGTTTTGTTCTAGTCAAATAGATTATTCACCAAGTTTGAGAAATTCGTACAATCCTGAGTGGTACTTTGCGCTAGAAGGGCACATCTGAATATTAGGAGTTCTACCATCCACGGCATATTGAAATGTGCTGAAGCCTATTTAGGAAGTGTTGGCTTTATTTTTCAAACTTCTATTTTTGGTTACATTATCATTTCTCTTCAGTTCCCGATGGTGTGGGACCTCTCCTGTCAAGTTCTCTAATGTGGCATGCGCCTCTCTTCCAGCTTGCAAAATGCGTTCACTTGACAGAGGTATATCATTTTCATGATATGATTGAAATGCTGGTCAACTGTGGATATAAGAAGGGGACCACGTTGTTTGGATATGGTTATGATTTCCGGCAAAGTAATAGGTAAACTTTTGGCAGCAGAGCAGCATTTCTGTTGATTATAGGTTATGTTGATCATGTCTCTGAGTTCCAGTGGTTTCATATTACTGCTACATAAGGATAGGTTCAAATTTTCTGTAGTGAAATATTTTCCCTGGTAGGGTTGGTAATTCAATGGAAGGTCTTAAAGCAAAGTTGGAGACTGCTTATGAAGCTTCTGGCAAAAGGAAAGTCAACATAATTACGCATTCAATGGGGGGACTGCTGGTGTCATGTTTCATGTCACTATACAAAGACGTATGCTCTTAGTCTGTTGAACGTGTTTAAGTTTTGAATCATCTTTACAGTGTCCACAGAAATGGTTGACACCACACCTTTTTCCGCCTGCAGGTTTTCTCCATGTTCGTGAATAAGTGGATCTGCATTGGATGCCCTTTTCAAGGTACAGTGCAAAGATGGTTGTGCCATCTGATGTAATAGCGCAAGAGATTCCTTCAGCGCTGGACGAATATATAAGTGGAGGCATGTTATTTATGCTGTTGAGCAAGAAATGCTTCCAGCTATTTTGCTTCTCTTGACCATTCAAATCATTGATTGTAGAGTCGCTGGCGTAGGGTCCTGCTATGGATTTTCAACCTCATAAATACATTTTCCCGAAATCGTTATGATCTGTTTGCTGCTTCAATCTATCAGAGCAACCCTTGACATGGAACTTTCATTGTCGGTGCTGAATAGGTGCCCCTGGGTGCATCAATGATTCCATCTTAACTGGCTTGCAGTTTGTTGAAGGCTTCGAGAATTACTTTTTTGTATCAAGATGGACTATGCACCAACTGGTGATCTACTACTCTCTTGTGAATTTCGCTTGTGCATAAAAGGTTGTCCTGTAGCTCTCCTAATAGAGGAGAGTAGCTCTCTATGAAAAAAAGCACCACAGCAAACTAAGTAGCTTTTTTTAATTCTGCAATAGCAGTCGAGTCAGCGCATGCAACATAAATAAAATCAATTAGATTGATATTATCTGGAAATTTGCCGATTTTTAATTATAATTTTCTGAAATTTTCCAATATTTACTTATATTTGTGCTTGCATTTATGACTTGTGATACAGTTGCTGGAGTGTCCATCAATTTATGAGATGTTGCCTAACCCTGCCTTTAAGTGGGAAAGAGACCCTCAAATTCAAGTTTGGCGGAAGCAATCAAATGATGATGATACTTCTATCCAGGCGGAGTCCTATGGGCTACTTGAAAGCATAAGTTTATTTGAAGAAGCATTGAAGAATAATGAGGCAAGTAAATCATTGTTATTTCCCAATATTTCCTTCCGGTTTGGTCGCTTAGGGTCTTTTTTGACCCCTGCCTCTAGTCAGAATTATTTTGACACAAACTAGTTTGTTGCAGCTAACTTATGGTGGAAATGCAATTCCTCTACCTTTCAACATGTCTATCCTCAAATGGGCTACTGAAACCCGTAAGATACTCAATGATGTTCAATTACCAGAAGGGGTCTCCTTCTACAACATCTATGGGACATCATGTGACACGCCATTTGATGTATGGTATGTAAATGTAATGGCATGAAGTTTGGGGCTAATTGTTGCCAACTAACTGAAAGAGTTAACATGTTCTCTGATAGACATTTAATTATTTCGGTTTATGTCGGGTTGAATTATTTAGTTCGGGATTATTTTGGGTATTGGGAATATTGTGGGGGATTAATAATTTGGGGGAGTTAGTAGGTAATTGTGTTTTGGGTATTTAGGCTATTGTTTACGTAGAGAATGGTAAGCAAGAATTAAACCTAAAACTATCTCTCTCTCTCCTCTCTTTCTCTCTGGCGGCCGAGCCTTCTTTTCCCTCCCCAAAGCTGCCGCACGGCAGCAGCCTCCTCTCTTCTTCTTCTCTTCCCAAATTCCCTAAATCACTCTCTCTCAATTCCCCTCAACCCCGGATCAATCCCTAGTTGATCCCCGATCCCCAATTGTCCGATAGAGTTTGACCTAGAGTTCTATCATTTGGTATCAGAGCCCGGTTCTTGGGTTCGATCACAAACAGCGAAAGAAGGGTGCAATGGTGTCCACAAAATCGATGACAGCGGCGGAGAAGGCTGCCAAGGCGGCGGCGCCGGAGCAGGCCTCCACCGCGGTCTCGACCGGGCTGCCGGCGGCAACCAGGGGGCCACCGATCCGCGGGACGGTGAGCTGGTGGACGAAACTGAAAGGTTGGAGCTGATCCAATCTACTTTGGATCGCCTGGTAGCCGAGTTCGAGAAGGAGCGCAAGGAATGGCGGGCGCTCCGGCAGGAGCAAGGCGAACAGCGACGGGAACAGGAGGAGGAGTCCCGGCGAGTTTGCAAGCGGTTTGATGAGGTGCAGAGGGTCGTGGAGGCGCTGGCCGCCGCGCAAGCCACTGGGCCGAAGGGTGGCGGCGGCGGCGATGGGAGCGACAGCCGGAGCGGGCTGGGAGGCTCGACGGCGGATGGAGGCGCGGTGGCGAACACCGTAGCGGCGGCGGGTGGCGTGACAGCGGGGGCGATGGTGGTGGCGGAGGCGCCGCCCCCAACGGCGGCTGTCGAGGTGGTTGACGCGGCGGAGATGGTGCCCGGTGCTGGGGAGCGAGTGGGCCAGGGTCAGCCAGGGCGCAGCGGTGGGCCTGGGCTTCTACCGACACCAACGGCCCAGGAGTTGGCGGCCCGCAAGGGTAAGGCCAAGATGCCTGGGTACGACAATGGGCCTCCGCCGACTGGGCAGGGGCCGCCTAGGCCAATGGGCTGGAGCGACACAGTGGGCCAGTACCACGAGCCCAGAGGACTGGGGTGGCTGACCATGGATCGCGAGCGGATCGAGGAGGAGCTCAGCCTGGTGGGCCAGAACGCACCATGGGCCGACCCGGCGGGTGGCGGGGACTATTTGGGCCCGGACGTGACAGGGGCCCAGATCGTGCAGGTTAGGCCGGGCCAGGAGGGTCGATTCGGGCCAGGCCATGAGGGCCGGTTCGGGCCGGGCCAGGAGGGCAGGTTTGGGCCGGGCCAGGAGGGCCGGTTTGGGCCGGGTGGACCGGGGCTGGGTCGGGGAGGCGGCTCGGCTGGTCAGACTGACCCGGGGCTGACCGGGTCGGGTCGAGGTGGGTCGGGTCGGGGCGGACCCGAACCGGGTCGAACCGATAGTGGACCGAACCGGTTCGAACCAGGGCTGGTTAGATCGGCCAGCATGGACCCGAACATGTGGCGCGGATCGCACGGTGCAGGGAATTGGGCAGGACCGGTGGGGCGAGGGCCCGCAGGCAGTTTTGGGCGAGGAAGGGGGACTCCGTTCTACCCAGACCAGCCAGGGGGTGCTCCCGGTTATGACAGGTATGGTTCGTATCACCCTGCTTATGATGGAGCTGATGGGATGGTCTTTCGAGCCAAACCCCCGACCATTGAGTTTCCAAAATTCAATGGTCAGGAGGATGCAGTGCTGTGGTTGTATGCAGCAGAGAGGTGGTTCAGAAACCACCCCATTCCGGAGGAGAGGAAGGCGCATCTGGCGTCCTTCTACTTAGAGGGAGAAGCGCTGCAGTGGTGGGAATGGATGGAGAGGTCCTATGGGGCGGTGGGAACTCTGATCACTTGGCCGCTGTTCCAGGAGGAGCTGCGTTATCAGTTTGGGAAATCGGAGGGGTGGGCCCCAGAGCAGTTGGCTAAGCTGAAGCAGACTGGCTCTGTTGCGGACTACCGTGCAGAGTTCTTCAAACTGGGCAATCAGTGCCATGGGGTTCCGGAGGAGACACTGGTGGGGCTGTGCATGGCAGGCCTGAAGCCGGAGATTGCTGCTGCTGTCCGGATCTTTGAGCCGGATTCCGTGAAATCTGCTTTTCGTCTTGCAGGGTACAAGGAAGAGGAGCTGGCGAGTTGGAGTAGCACCATGGGCCGCAATCCGCGGGCAGGGGGCGCCGGGAGCAGTAGCGGACTCAGCGGTGGAGGAGGAGGAGCGGCTGGGACCGCGGTTGGAGCTGGAGGACCCACGGCGGCACAGGCGCCAGTAGCTGTCGTGAAGGGTGGGGCACGACCTCCGCCCAAGGGATTTGTGCGACTATCCCCTGCGGAGATCGAGCAGAAGCGGCGGGAAGGGAAGTGTTTCAACTGCGACGAAAGGTTCACGATTGGCCACAAGTGTGCACGTCCGGACTTGATGATGCTGGTAGGGAGGTGGGAGGACGAGGCGGAGGATGAAGCGAGAGACGGGGAAGACGCAGGAGAAGGCTACCAACCTTGAGGACAAGGTTGTTTTGAAGAGGAAGGGAATGATAGACATTTAATTATTTCGGTTTATGTCGGGTTGAATTATTTAGTTCGGGATTATTTTGGGTATTGGGAATATTGTGGGGGATTAATAATTTGGGGGAGTTAGTAGGTAATTGTGTTTTGGGTATTTAGGCTATTGTTTACGTAGAGAATGGTAAGCAAGAATTAAACCTAAAACTATCTCTCTCTCTCCTCTCTTTCTCTCTGGCGGCCGAGCCTTCTTTTCCCTCCCCAAAGCTGCCGCACGGCAGCAGCCTCCTCTCTTCTTCTTCTCTTCCCAAATTCCCTAAATCACTCTCTCTCAATTCCCCTCAACCCCGGATCAATCCCTAGTTGATCCCCGATCCCCAATTGTCCGATAGAGCTTGACCTAGAGTTCTATCATTCTCTCTCTCTCTCTCTCCGCGTCTATAAAGTTGGTGAGAGGATACTCAGATTACTTCCCATTTTCTTAGGCCAATGTGTGGATATAGTTTATTTCAAATGATTGTATGACTTGCAGCCGTTGTGGTTGATGATTAGCTGAACTATCAAATCATCACGGTGCATGTTTCATTATGTTGTCTGCCCTCATCTTGTGTACCTGCAGTTATGGTTCAGAGACATCCCCAGTGGACGAGTTATCAGAAGTGTGCCACGTAACGGTGAGTGTTCTCATTCTCCATTATCATTATGCACTGGGATGTTGGATATCTATTTACATTTGCTGCCAGTGACATCTTGTCGCTTCTGAATAGTGAGTTTGGACATTTTTGTGGAATTAACTGCTTAGACTGATGCCAGAATACCTATTTGATACTACAATTTATGAATTTATATGTGCCAGACCCTCCACTGTCCGCCCTTTTTATTACCCTAGCTTGTTTATACCATTGCTGTACTTGATTCATTCAACTCCTGCGTGTTTCTTTTTGGTTTGGTGGCCACAGCCTCAATACTCTTATGTGGATGGTGATGGAACAGTTCCTGCTGAATCTGCTAAGGTACTTATTCTTCCCTTGCTTATAATTATTAATTCTGTGGCTTATATGGGAATGGCCCACTGGTCTTATCCTTTAGTTAACAGATTGATCGCAGCTGAATTCCTTGTTAACTATAGTATACTCTTTGTTGGTTCTGGACATGCCTGTTTTCCGTAGCTGTCAACTGGGATAAACACAGACTCATTCATGGTTTCTTCATAAGTGAGAATGACTACGAGTTCACAATCGTGACCAAAACTCTAAAACCATAGTTGATTGTCTATAGGATAAGCATGTTTTACAACCTCAAAACGCTCGATACAGTTTTTGGCAATTTAGCCGACCCTAAATTGGCAAAGAGAATTACCAACCCATACTTAAGCAGAACTATTTGGTCGACTGTAACCGAGTAATCAACCATTTTGGTGAAAGCATTAAGAACGGTGTGAGTTGGAAGACTTATCATAATTTTGTCTGATTTTATATATACAGGCAGATGGATACGCGGCAGTTGAAAGGGTAGGAATCCCGGGTGAGCACCGTGCACTGCTACGCGATGACAAGGTATTTCAACTCATCAAGAAATGGTTGGGAATTGAACAGAACGTGAGCAAGCGCTCAAGAACAGTAAAGGTGATGGACTCGCACGTTTATATATGAATTCTGCACATATCAGTGCTGGTTAACCTTTCATAAAATATAGTTAAGTGTGTAAATCCAGTCCAGTGTTGGTGAAGATGTCTCTACTCTCTCGGCCCTAAATTTATTGTTGTATATGTGAAGTTGCATGCAGATGTTATTCTTGTTTAATAGCATTTTACGCTTGGTAACATTTTACTAGGACAGTAACCCCGTTGATACGCCACGCGGGAACTGAAAGTATTTGGCAGAAGAATGCAATCTGGGAAATTCACTGTACTATATAAATTACAGGACTTTCTGACCCATTATCTGTCCAACCTTCATGGTCCATGGATAGGCTATACGGTCCGGTTAAATTGGATCAAACTGATCCGGTCTCAGTCCGGTCTTTTCGGGAATATAAGGACCAAAGATTGGATTGGATACAGTCCAGTTTTGATTCGGTCTGGTCCCAATTTGATATTGATTTTAGGTGTTGGGGGTCTCTTATCCGGTCTTTATTCGGGTTTTTTTTATCTCAAATCTAAGCCCGAATATGAGATTGGATTGTTTGCTATCCGGTCCCAGTCCGGGTTATACGGTCCGGTTTCGGGTAAAACCAAACAGTCCGAGACCAAATAGCCAGCCCTATCCATGGATACGGCTAGGATGGAAATCGGTACGGTATCGGTAATACCAATACCAAATATCGAAATCCCGAATACCGAATTACACCCTAATGTGAATCCCAATCCCAATCACTAAATAATTTCGATATCACAATTCCTAAATATTTCGGTATCCCAATCAGTATTATCGAGTACAAAATTAATTACCTTTTCAATTAATAATTAAGTATATAAATTAGATTTTATTGTTTAATTTAGGGGGAAAAGACTGAGCAAAGTGTCTTGAATTAGGATATTATTAAGGAGAATGGAGGAGAGGACTGAGGAGACATCTCAAGTTCTTGTCATTGGTATTCATTAATTTGACGAATTGGAGGATGAGAGACGACTATTAATAGTGATAGAATGATCTATGTATAATTAAAGGGTAATTGACACATTTGGTCACTGAGATTATTAGATTATGTCATGTTTAGTCACTAGAAAAAATTAATATCAATTTTGGTCACTCGAATTACCGAAACTGGTCAAATTTAGTCACTCTCCCGTCAGTTTTCGTCCAACTCCATTAATATAGTTGGACGGAAACTTTTGGGAGAGTGACTAAATATGACATGTTTCAGTAATCCGAGTGACTAAATGTGACATTTTTCAATAATTCGAGTGACCGAAGTTGGACAGAAGCCACAGAAGAGTGACCAAATGTGACCTGTTTCAGTAATTCGAGTGACCAAAATTGATATTAAATTTTTCTAGTGACTAAATATGACACGATTTAGTAATCCCAGTGACCAAATGTGTCATTTACCCTATAATTAAATGACACTTTTGGTGGTTTAGGTTCGTGTGGTAGTGAATGAGAGAGTCTATACCGATCCCAATCCCGTAATCCCTAATATCGAATACAAATTGAAATTCAATCACAATCTCAATCCCAATCCCAAAAACTAATACGTGTATTCGGTAATACTAAATATAGACAAATTTGGTACTGTATTCGGTATATCCCAAATACCGATACCAAACTTCCAGCCCTAGATACAACTTCCATTTTCCACCTCATTTATGTACTCCTTTGTTCATGTATGCTGCAAATTACCTTTTGGAGAGCTGAAAAACCAATCTAAAAAGATATAAAGCCAAAACATGGGTTGACTTTCTAGGAATTTGAATATCCAAGCCTCAAAGTGTTTCATGGAGGGGCAATCACGTAAATTTACCTTTATTAATTGATACTCTGCGTTTCACGTTCGTCCCTTTCGCTGGAGTTTAAAGTCAATCCACTGGACCATTTGTCGAAAGAGGGTAAATCGGATTGAATCCGAATAAGGGTTTTTCCGGTATGCAGCTCCGCGAGAAAGGAGCGAGAGAACGCAAGAAAGTAAACACAATAATGCGAATGAGACTCTCGATTCTTCGATCTATTTTCTTTTGCTATTGTCTACGAATTCACTTACTTTCTAACTTCGGCCTCCATTTGACATATGTTTTCTCTTTTCTTATTTTGAGTGTGGGAGCGTGATAGGATCGTTGGGAAAGTGCTTTGTAAGTGAAGTGATCACTGGTCAGCACAAACGATGAAGTCAAGCTTTCCCCTCTCTTTTTCAGACCGGGTGATGGCACTCGAGAGGGGGAAAGAAGAATCACCGGCCTTGGAGGGCCAGAGAATAGATTGGGCCCAATCTCATATGGCTGAAGAAGCTGTGCCTCTGCCGGCGCACCGATAAAGCAATGCCAACATGGGTTGCCTATTGGGCCCAATAACTTGCACAAGACATAAAGTTCATTTAACACCAGCGCATTGGGCTGGGCCGTCCCTGTGTCATCACCGATTTGAATTTCAACATCTGAAAATTTAATTGTGGTGTAGGAATTATTATTATTTGCCAGGTTCAATAGCATAACCTAATTTTGTACAGGGTGAGATAGCATGACTTCCCTTAAAGGGTTGGAAAAATGACTATCTATTAATTATAGATTTTTAAGGTAATTAATTTGTGTTTCATTTAATAATATGTCTGAATTAAAAATCTATATTATTACTTTCCTTTTTTTAGTGCAATGGTAATTGTATCAATGCAATGATTTCAATTTACATGTGCAATGATAATTGTATCAGTGCAATGATAGTTAAAAATATATAATTAATATGAATTTTTAATTTCCAAAGATTATTAAATGCAACAAAAATTTAATAAAAGAATAACTATAATTAATAGGGTATTATTTTTTCAACAACTTAAAGGGATTAGCAAGCTAATCGACCTTCTCCTCACAACCTCGCCCAGGAAGAGGAAATATGCAAAAATCTTATTGAGACCCTTAAACAGGAGGAACTCTTATGGTATCAAAAGTCAAGAGCTCCATGGATGGTGGATGGTGATCGAAATACCCGTTTCTTTCATCTCTACACCCTGAAATGCCACAGCTAATCGAACCAATTTTGTACTCTATCATTATAACCACCACTGATTTCTGACAGTACTTATTTGTTCTTTATTGCATTAATCAAATATATACAAGTCGCCAGCAAATCATGTGTTTCTCAATATTACATAGGATTTTCCCCCCAACATATTTGTAGGGTATTTGAACCACTAATATAATCATATTTTAGAAACTCTACCGTACTAATCAACCGGATAAAAAATATCGAATGCCAGACTCAAATCGGTAGGTAATTTTAGCGGTAACAAATAATTGAAACTACAGTACATAATATTTTAGTATTAACTTTTCTGGTATAAACTCCAATACGGTTTCACAATTCTTGCCTATAACTATTGATAATTCATCATCCTATTTACAAGCATTAAACCATTATCTGTGCACCATGATTGCTACTTCTGTTTTCCTATTTGAGTTTATGAAATTGTAGGATTTAAAACTTATGAGCTGCATTCTCTATGAAAAAAAAAGAATTCCCATGCATTTACTTATTCTAGATGATTAATTCAAATTATATTCTAAACTCCGTTTCAATTTTATTATCACAAATTTGGTTGGTAAGTTCACCATACTCAACCAACCTTTCAACTCCATGTCAAAATTGTTGATGAAAAGACTAAACAGGTTGACCCTAAAACTATTAAAGTTAGTTTTTTTTTCATTGTCATTTCATATTTCCTTACATCTTTTAATATTACGTCAAACTAAGTTCATGACCTCAGGTGCATTAGGAGACCTTTGATAAAAATTGTACTCAAAAGATTTTTTGATTAATCAATTTGAAAATGTAGTCCCCAATCAACCTCCAACTTCAGTACAAACTTCAGTACATGTGGAAAAACAACAAGATAAGCATTAGAGCATCTCCATTGGAATTGCAATTAGAATTGCATTATGACATGACATTCATTTGCAATTGCATTGATCTAGATGGCAATTGTATCTTTGCAAGCTTGCATATAATGCAATGCAAGCCACATAATCTTTTTTATTATTAAATTATTCATTATTTTTATTATTGGAGTGTTTATGTTTTAATAAATTAAATCAAAAAAATTAGTTGCAGTTGCAAGTTAATTGCATTGATGTGGTACAAGGCAAGTAAGATGAGTTGGATTGCACAAAAATGAAGTAACAATAAAAAGACAAATGCAATTGCAAATGCCATTGCACCAATGGAGATGCTCTTAGCCCCTTTTTTTTTTTGCCAAAGATACCCCACAGAATGGGAAGCAGCAAGATACGGAATATAATTACAAGACCTTTGCAGGTCAAAACACAAAAGATAAATAAGGAAGAAACGTCGGACGATCCAACGACAAGAGGGCTTTTTGTGCTACGATATGGGCAGCCCTAATATACCTACGCATTTACTAGAATCCATGTTTGTGCTCAACCCATTTCAGGGCTGAAGTAATGGACCAAACTCCTGTGGCTGTCAGGCGACCGCAATGCTAGTAAATCCCTGCAAATCTAACAATAAAATATGCGCGAAAAAAACACGTTAGAACTTAAATTACTAAGGATACGGATTCAGGATTCGACACACTTTGTCTTTCCATTGAAGCTATAAAGTCTATTAGTCCACCAAAAACTTACGCAGCATCTCGTGCAAAACAAAAACAAAGAAATAGTTTCCCTCGACAACTGGGAAGCATGAAACTCCAATTCGACACGTCCAACGCCAATGCCTCATTTGAATACGTATGAGTCAGAAAATAGAGAATATAGTGACGTTGTCGCTACTAGACCACGTAAGAAGTTGTAGAAACCACTAGGCCCACAAAAAGCTTGCAAAACAACAACCATCTAGGACACATGCCAAACAGGCCCCAAACATCGGCCCACAAGCAACCAGAGCCCAAATTGGACTGTTGCAGCTTGAAAAGCCAGGGAAGGTCCTACTAGCAGAACCGGATAAGTGAAGCGAACTAATCGACATTGTAGACGGTGGCAGCTGTAATTTGCCACGCGTCAGACACCCCCACCACCACTTTCCTTTGGATAAGGATAGATGAAAGTCCCAAGAGCGCACACCAGCGGACAACGGGAAGCGGCAACCGACTTCAAATTTGAACCTCCAGCTGCGCCGAACTTGTCGTATCACTCTCACCGTCCGGTACCGGCTCCGACAAGGCCCACCGACCGCGGGAAGCGGAGGTCAAGAACTGACCTTGGAATTGAAAGTTGGAGCAAGCCTGGGGATGTGAAGCAACCGAATCTGCAACATCATAGCAAAACCAGCAAGC